CACCTGCTGGGCGGGGGGCAGATGTGAAGGACAATCTCCCCCTAATTAAAAATACATTCCCGGTTCATCCAATCAGAGCAAGTGCGTTCCCTCCCACCCTGCAATGCGTAATGTTAAATTTGGTCAATGACGGAGGCTCCCCAGCTCGAGGCGACACGGTGAGGGGGGTTGTTTGCGTGCGAGCCCTCGGTTAACGCTGGGCGGCTCAGCCCAGCCGATGTTCACGCAAGTGTAAACGCGCAGCGCGCATGAGTGCCCCTCCCACCCCAGCCGGGCAGCTCCGGCCCCATCCCAATGTTTTATTGAAGCCGCTTCCTCCGAGGGGATCTAAAAATTCACTCAACGCCCCCGAGTCTGTCTGTTTTGGCTGCTGAGAATGGCTCCCAATCACAGGGAGATAAAAACATCAAAATAAGCTTGTGCAGATCTGACATGAGCTTTCCGCCCCGCTGAGCACGGCCGGGCTGCCGGCTCGCACGCTCGCTTACACGCTCACACGCACAGAGGCGAACCGAGCCCCAGCCTCCTTGGCAGCGGGGCCGCCATGCCTTTTACCACGTCTTTAACCTGGTTTTCCCTCTTTACGGGAATTAAACACAGGCCTCCTTTTTGTGACTCAGAGAGGCCGGGCGTGTTACTACTGTGCACGTACAATTGCACGGGAAATTAAACCCTGCAATTACACTCTGTATTCCATTTTATTTACAACTCCAAGTATTTATCTGTGCAGTGTTAGAAAGGGTTTTTTATGTTTAACTCATTTTGATATTTTGATCTCCCGTTACCATTTAGTCTTTATTCTTCATTGTAAAGTCCGCCATTACGAGCTATACTTTGTATCGTATTAGCACTTCCTCCATGCTAACAGAGAGTTTTACTTACACAACAATGTTCTGAGGGCAGATGGAAAAATTATTGGTTCAGAGAGATAAACAATCAGATTGTAGAGACACCTGATTGGCTGATCCCCCCCTCCTCTAGTTGCTTGGACCCACCTTCTTTACAATCTGATTGGTTATCTCTCTGAACCAATAATTCTGTCCTCAGAACATTATTGTGTAAGTAAAACTCCCATGAGCGCTAACAGAATCATTCACAGGAGATAAAAAAAGACTCCTTTTGAATTTCTTTATGGGGACAGGAAAACACCAGCCGACAGCAGGAAGAAACTGCCTGGGAAAGGTGTCAAAGACCCAGCCATCACATGTCAGTGTGCAGGACTGAACGACCGTGAGACGGCAGCTGACAGAAGTCACTTCACTCTCACTCAAATGAGCGGAATAGGTACTCAGGAAAATTAAGTTAATTGTGCCATGTCTGCTCACGGATCATGCCAGCGATCCCAGAAATGTCGCCACAAGCCAATGTGGGTTGTGGTCATAACAGGAGGATTTTGGTTTGTGCAGTTTGCATTTAGTATAAGGAGAAGATTTGAGGTTTTTTAATAAAAAAAAATAAAATAAAATTTTTGTAGGGAATTTTACCTTTTCTTTAGGAGACAGTTCTGTGCAAAAGTCAAAGAAAATGTTTAAAGTTAGTTATCTGGGTAGTAAGCATATATTAAAAACTTACACAAATTACACAATTTAACTTTAGAACATATTCAGATTAAGAGTAATAAAAATCAACAAGAATTTCTTCTGTTCTCCAAAAAGTTACTGATATCTTGATGAATGGCCAAATGAACACCGCTTCAGTTCCCAAACCTCTCCTCAGGGGCACCCTATTTCGCGACCAGTTCAATTAATTAATCAATCAATTTAAAAAATCAGTTAACTGAATAGGGTATTGATTAGCCATTTTAGATATGCTAGTGGTCAAGTAAAAAAATTCACTGGAATATTGGATGGTTGCTGGGGAGACTTTAAGAGAAGTTTTGAAATGGCTAAGCTGACACACTTTTGCAGAAAAGATAACAGTTTACACAAACATGAATTGTACATGTATTTTTTCTGTAGGCAAAAACAACTGTAGGCAATTGTAGTACAGTGCATGTTTTTTTTTACAGAACACTATTCTGTTAAATATCACAGAGAGATACATTATATTTGCAGGAATCAGGACAATCTTCACATATTTTGTGACTTTTTTAAACAAAACCTAAGCATGTGTCTGTTTGAATCCTGCCCCCAAGGTCCTGGAAAGCTCTCGTCAAACAGCAAGCACCCTCATACACAATTTTAACCCCTAATTTTTGAAGAAACAAAAAGATTTTCTCAGAATATCTAAATGTCTCAAGCCACTATCGAAGCATAAAACCAACTTACGGAAGCAATAAAGGAGGAGCAAAGGAGAAATCAAGGTGGTCTGGTTTCTTTGAGCCCACCACGGTCTGTGTGACTGAAACCAACCTAGATCCTAAAATAATCCAACCCACCAGTCTGGGAGAGCAGGGCACTTGCGTCTCACCAGGCTATCCAGGACACTCTCCCATTAATAAAGGTCATTTTTGTTTTTAAAACACCAATCAGATTTCTCTGTGGAGATTTATTTTTTTCCTCTCCTTTAACATTCTGTAGTTTCTCTAGTTCCCTGTTTTTTTTTTGTTTTTATAACAATGCGAATTTCTTTTCTGTACATACTTTTTTTGTGTGAACACAGCTGTAGGCTGGAGGGAAATGCGTGGACGAGGTGCCCAGACCAGATCGTTCACATTTAACTGGTGGACACCCCTGGTCTGCAGGCTCCAGGTGCCGTGCTTCTCACTGATCTGGGCCCTGAAGGTCTAATGTCCTCTGGTCTGCTGTAATAACTCTCTATGAACCGAGGGGAGGAGCGAAAAGACATCACCATGGGATAAAATGTATAACAAAAGCTCAGAACACTTAAAGCACACACAGAATACACTTAAGGCACACTCAGAACACACTTAATTATTAACACATTTAAAGTTTATTGTCCAGTCTGTAAAGAAGGCATTCAAGAATTTCCTTGTACTCTGTACACTGTACTTTGTACATACGACAATAAAAAGCTTTGAAAAACGTTGAATCCTTGAATCCACTTAAAGCTCACATTTAAAGCACATATAAAATACACATGTACAGTTTTTCCTTTAAAATTTTGATCATGTTTTTTACTCGTAATTTCTCGTCTCGTCTTATCATCACGCGCTCAGACACACTTAAAACACACTCAGATCAGCACACATCAGTCACCTTCATCTCATCCCTGAATGGTGAGTTATGTCCCCCTAGAGCTTGTCCCCCTAGATTGGCTCTACCACTATTTTTCTACTTATATTCCCCCATTTTTCCTTCTTTGGTGTCCATCCACACCACAGGACATCATACTGTCCAGTGCCCCAAACCTTCATCAAATCTGATTCTGTACAGCTGCCATTACACCGATGAATGGTCCTTCACCACAATACTCCATGCTGAGGGAGGGGGAGGTGCGAGACCCCCAGTCACATGACCGACCTCATTAGAACCCTCCACCTCAATCTGGATGAGCTTGCCTCATTTCAGCATTATTCTAGATCTGCTACCATGGCAGCCACTCATGAGAATGTGTG